TGTTAAAATTAAAAAATGGAGATATAAAGAAATTTTCTTACCTCAGCCCCAGCCATGGTGGGGTTGAGGGAGTAGATCCTCTATCTGTGAAAGTACCCCACCCCCACTGGTCCCCCTCTAGGCCTATTCCGAATTCCTAAATCCGCCACTGGAAATTTCAACAATTATGAAGTCATATTAAAATAGCTTGATGCCTTTTAAAGTAACTAATAAAATTCATCAAACTTCGTCAAAAATCCGTAGCTTCCAGGGGGATTCGCCCACCGGGGGGAATTGACAGCACCTGGCCCCAAGCCTAGATGCTCGCTTCGCTCACATACTGGACCTTATGAAATGCCACCCCCCACCAACATTCAAAACAGTTTCGCCGCCGTTGTTTAATTAAGTTGTTATTGTTAATACTGTATTGTATAATGTGTACTAATTTATTGGCAAGCCTGTATGTATGGCAGCGGAATGTCGCTGTTAGCTTGTAATAATAATATAAAAATAAATTGGATTGTATTTACAACGAATCATAATTTTGTATCGGTTCCAAGTAGTTATTTTGATTGCTTCCATGAAAGGAGGAGGAAGTACATGAATTCTGTACATAGGTTAGCCTGTGACATGACGTGCAAACAATATTCCGCTATGGTGAAATTGTTATCTGAAGCGTCGTTAGTAGTGTGGCACGTAAAGAAAATCACAATGGTCAGCGAGTGCGTCTGAATATAAATTAAGTACGCACTGCACCTCGACCAATCACACGATGGCATAGCTTCATGCCTGCCTCATAATCCTATAGTCTTGCAACTTTAAAGCGCTTTCCACAATAAATAGATCTTTAGGAAAATAAATCTGTAATGATATCTCAAATAAAGCTTAAAATTTCTCAATTAAAAAACAATTTATTTTTCAATGAGACAGATTGACACTATTGATTTTGTTTTTTCATCGATTTACAGACATTTTAATATGAAAAACTTGAAATTGATCACCAGCTGGTTTAAGTTTTCTAAATAAAGAAAATGTATTAACCACGTGAATTTAAGCCCTGTCCAGACTATCAAATTTAATTGACAAGAACATGTGACATGGCTAAATATGGTCATGATGACGACATCACATCATGACCGTATATAGGCACATCATGACTATATATGGGCATAAAAGAGATTTTTTTCTATCAAAGGAAATTTGATAGTCTGGACAGAGCGTAAGCGATGAAATTTATTCTTATATAAAATATTCAATTGAAAGCCAATAGCAAACGTACTTAACTTAAAATTTAAAATAAGCAATCGAATTATTGATTATTAAACAATGTTCAACATAGACCACGTCTTTAAGCGTCGATAAGCACGTGATATATAAACACACCAGTACGGAGGACATATATTTTTTGAATTTGTAAAAAAAATATTAATTCAGGATAGGCCTATTAAATTTAATGTACAACATACAAAAGACCTTGAACGAAATATATTGTTTTCAATAAGGTCCTGACTATTTACAAACATTGGCTTATAATGTACAACTTGACCAATGAAAAAAAAAGATATTATTATTATTATAGATATACATTTCAGAATAATGGCGGTACGAATATATATATATATATATATAT